GGCGGAGCGGAGCAGCCCGCAGGCCGCCGCTCGGAAACGGTCCCCGGTGCCGGCGAGCACAAACGGCGAGAGCTGCGGGTGCGCGCAGCCGAGACCGAACCGGCTTGAACTCGGCCATCCAGGAAAGCCATCCGGCCGCTGCAGCTGCGTGCGAGGACATCGGCCTCTCTTTTGTCTACGATCATAGTTTCGCATCTAGAAAAAAAAAAAAAAATTAGTCTTTTTATTCATATTCAAGTTTCAAAATGCATCAGAACAGGAAGTAGGTGTTGAAAAAAAGAGAAAAAGTTGAACTTCTGCGGAGTCAGGAAGGTCAAACCCGGTATCGTTTCTGCAGCTGTCCACAGTTTTGGCAGTTTTTCTTGGTTTTCTGCGATGTCTTTGGTGAATACGGGCTGTAGGGCTTTCCAGGAGGCATTTGGTTAAACTTTTATCCTCAGCTCTTGAAAAAAACCCACCCACACTCTGAATGCTGGTGCATGGTGTAAGGAAGGAAAGCATACCTGATGCCAGACACTGGTGAGGAAGTTCATGCTGCCAGCTTTTCTCCAGTTTCTGCAGTTATTCATACATTTCTCACACAACTTTTGCCCCATGCTTCTCGACTTGAGTTTCAAGTGTTCCGTATACACAGATCCCTGTTTTAAAACTCCATCTTTTAACAGATGAGAACAGTCAAACAGATCGCAATGCGTGCATGAGTAAAATGAAGCCATTTCCAAACAAATTTGCTGGAATGTTTTTTCTTCCCGCTTGTGTCAAGCTGCCTTCAACAGAAATTACTCATTTTTTCCTTTAATAGGTTACATTCCTTAAAATTAAGTTTGCTTCAGCATTGAGAAAACTTACTTTGCTATGTTTGATCGTTATGTCATTTATATATTGGCTGTTACAATACGCATTTTTTTCCAATAATGAAAAAAAATACATAGCAAAAGTGGACAGATTTCTTCCAGAAAATATGGAGTAAGTTCTTTATAACAGAAGACTCTCAAGCCTTTTTAATTTTTTTTAAATATACCTTGGAAATTAATAATTTTTATAGAAGTCACTGCGATGTTTAAGTGTCTAATGGAAATGCAACTGTTCTGTGAGTTATTGAAACAAGCTTTATAGTCACTGTTGATGTGGTTTTCCCCAGACGTTCTTTTGGGATTCTGCTCAGGAAAAGCCTCCCCCAGCACCACAGCAATCATACTGCTTTAGCAGCTCCAACTGTAGAAACCTTAATTCATTTACTCATTTCACACAGAAAAGTCTTGCAACACTAACAGCTGAAAGTCATCTAGTTTCTAGAGTTTTCACCAGTGACTAGAAAAATCTGATAACCGCGTAAACAGACTGTTACTTCTTTTGGATACAGGCAAGATATTTCAGGAAGGTACTTTGTCAACCCTTGCAATTTAGGGAGGTGTACCCCATGAGTGCGTACAGTTTAAGGAAGCAATAAGAAACTTGCATTGCAAAATTAAACAGAACATCTCATAGAAATATACTAACAAAAAAAAAAATCATCAACAAGCTTTATATGTGTACTTTAAAAAAAAAAAATACTTGCTGATACAAAATTCTCAGAAGCTAGTAAAGAAAGCCAAATTTCAGTAGTAGTTCATTATTTGCACTTTCAAATCATAACATTCTCACATCATCTTTTTACCTTGAAGTGTTTATGCCCTTCAGAGAATTCCTCGGGTGACTTCTCTTTTATGACCCATTCTTAGAAGTCATCAGCATTTTTAATGTCACTCAGGTTACACTCATGCCTGACACCATGTCATCCTCTCCTGGCAGATTGATGATAACGGGGGAGACATTAATGTTATGATAAGCAAGAGCAGAGCTGCTAACTTGAAGAAAAAAATCGAGCAGGTAAGTAGTTTTATCAATAGCTGTAATTTGCTTCTGAATTTTTTGTTGTAGAGAACGCTTGTTTTTGTAAAGATTGTTTCAAATATTTATCAATAGAAATAAATAATCAAGTCTAAAGTTAGGTAAGCTATTCTCATAGCAGCTGTTGCCGAAAATATTATTTTCAATGCTCTTAAAATGCTGGTGTACATTTTGAGACAGTTGTACAAATTATCTTCATGCCTCTGGAATGTAGGCATCAAAGAATTTTTTTTTTCACATTTTATACTTGCTCCAAGTCTTTATTGTTAGTAATCTGAAGTGACATCTATCTAGTTGTCTGTTCATTTGCCTGAAAACATATTTGAAACCAGTAGAAGTACAGAACTTTACCCATATGAGACTCAGCAATTCAAGGAGCTTTTTTTCTTCTTCTGCAACAGGAATTACAGCTTGCAGATAGTCGAGCAAACCTCAATTCTTTGTCGGTGTGGCATCTTAAGATCTTTTTGTCTCTGTCAGCAAGCAGGTAGGACAGCGCTACTTCCTGAGGTGGGATGAGCTAGGAGCCAAGGGTGACTGCAGCAGGGTGGTATCCTCAGCAACAGGGCACAGTCCTGCAGCAGGACAGGCAGGGCTGGGTGCTGGGAACTGGCTCCATCAACAGTCACAGCACAGGCACGAAGCAGGTCTAGAGTCTGTCCAGAGAGTCAAGTGAGGAACAGCAAGAGATAAAGCTCAAAGCAAGGCTAGAGACAAATCTGAGATTCACCTACCAGCTAAGCCCAGACAAGAAACAAAGCCTAAGCCAGGACTCAAAACAAGTATGCCTATAACATAACCTGAGTTTAGGTGGAGCTCCTGGGCACAGGGGTGGAGGCCCCAGGTGAGGCTGGTCAGGGTCATTAATGCCTGTTGACACTCTCAGAACCCTGACAGTTCCTACCCATAGCGTGGCAGTGAGGTCTGTAAGGAACAGAAATACTTGCCTCTCCAAAGTCATTGAGTCTGCAAATACAGTGGTGCCAAATTTCTCTAGCTAAGCAGGCCTCTTTATTTTGGGTGCACAACACGCCCTCTGGTATCACATGGCTTACTGCAAATGTGCAGGAGACTTGAAGCATCAAAAAATGCCAGGCCAGTGCATGCAAAATTAGCCAAGTCTTTCCAGATGCAGCGTTTACCGGCCAGGCACGACACAATCCTTCTGCACTCCGAGCTTTATATTGTTCATGCACAGTCATGCAGTGAAGTAAGGGCCAAGATTTCCAATCAAAAAAGAAACTGGGGGCAAACCGCTCTCCACCACAGGTCAGGAACATCTGATAGGAAACAGTTAGAATAAATGCAGTGGGCCTGTATAATGGGCATCAGAAGATGAAATAATAGTCCCTTCTGGCCTTACTTCATGTAAAATGATATTAACACTTAAACTACCTGTGTTCAGCATGCTTACAAATGTTAACTTACTTTCAGTGCCAGTCATCCAGGTAGATACTATCTACAGAACCAGGGCCAAGAAAGACTAAATGAGGAAGTCATTGTCAAAACCACAATTAGAATTCAAGAGTTTCTGCATTAAACTCATGTTGTTCAAGACTCTTCTCTTTCAGATACTGCCAACTAACAACGCTGTGGGTGATTTATCTGATCATCTGTGTTACAAACACAAAGGCATTAGCAGCGGTTGGCTCGTGTTCAGCTGGGTTCGCAGGCACAGCACCACGTCGGTGCAGTGTACAGAGTCCCGGGTCACGTCTGGTCTGGGAGCAGGCTGGTCACTTTGTCACACTGGAGTTGGAGCTAATAAATGTGAGGGAGGCTTTGCAAGGTAGGTGCTTTAATCCATGTTTTGTACCTTCACAAGGAGCCAGCTCTAATGTCTCAGTATCACGCTTCCATGAGGGAAGCAGGGCTAGCCAAGATAGGTCTGGTTAGATCTAATCTTTCCCTTACAAAGCACCATAGGTATCTTTGCACTGTAACTCCTAGAGCTTTTGGGTTGTGGAGGGCTTAACTTGGGTTCAGTATCAGTGACATGTCTAACCTTCCCCAGCCTGGACTGAAGCCTCTTGCAGAGGTCTGTTCCTGGTGACTTTGCAGGCCTGACTTAGGGACACCATACCTGAATAATTGTGTTCACAGGGTCAGACCCCTGCGGGCACTAGTAGGCCTTAATGGACCTGACCAGCTGCACCTGGGACCTCCACACACCTCCTCTGCCCACAGCCCCAGGAGCTCTATTTAAGCTCAGCCCTGGCTAAACTATGGCTCCTCTTGAGTTTGAGTCTAGCCTTGGTTCTGTTTAGTCACTATGGCCCCTGCTCAGTGCCTACTTGGATTGTGTATAACTTTGCTTACCTGTGGGGTTCCCCAGACCTGTGGATTGACATCTTGGTTCAGCCTCAGACCTGTCTCATCTCCTGGAAGCTGATTTATTATCTGGACTGCTGGCTGAGCGTGGATACCACCCCCTGGCCTCTCCTGTTTACTTTGTCTGTGTATGGGGGGGGGCTGGGTGCTGGCTAGTGAGGTCTTTGTCCCACTGGCTGTTGTGTGGGGCTCCCTGTCTCTCAGGGAGAAACTACCCCTCACAGCTCTGATATTTACTCCAGATTCAAATTTTGCTGGAGCTATGTGCGGTGCAGAACTACTTACAGGTTTATGTGTGGTATTCCTTGGTATTATGTTGTCCAATTTAATTTATTCTGCAGGTATGTACCAATTTGCATGTTATTCTGGATAAAAACACAGGGATGGTGGCACTATGTCAGACCAAAGGTCCACTGGCTCAAAACTTTACCCCTGGCAGTAGCCAGTAGCACAAACACAGGGAAGAAGTCTTGAGTAGCATACAGGG